TTACCCCGCCCCGCCACGGTAAATGTCGTGCTGCACGTGTGAACCCAGAAATACACCTGGAAACGCAGAAGTCCACTGGGAAAGTGCTGGCAGAGATTCCCCTTGGAGTGCTGCCCGTAGGACCCCAGTTTGTGCACGGCCCTTCGTTCTGCGTGATGGTTTGGTCTCTCTTGCAGGGACAGAGTACTGGGCTGGTGTTGGGAAGGTGCTGGAGAGGAACTAGCGCTGCGGTGCACGTGTGAACCCAGAAATACACCTGGAAACGCAGAAGTCCACTGGGAAAGTGCTGGCAGAGATTCCCCTTGGAGTGCTGCCCGTAGGACCCCAGTTTGTGCACGGCCCTTCGTTCTGCGTGATGGTTTGGTCTCTCTTGCAGGGACAGAGTACTGGGCTGGTGTTGGGAAGGTGCTGGAGAGGAACTAGCGCTGCGGAGGCTGCTCTGAGGGCACGTTTCACCCCTACCCGGAGCCACCTCTGCTGGGATGTGTTGGCTGGGACCAGACCAAACGGCAGCGGTGGACATCTCCCAGCATTAGGGGAGAGGGGAGCATCCCCTCGCCTCTCCCTGTGCAAACTCCCCGCCAAACGCCAGCGGCAAATCCTCGCAGGACGTGGCCCGCAGAGATGCCTGCAAGCTGGCTGCGACACCTCAGCACTGAACAGCCCAGAGAGGTGGGGGGAGGCCGCCGGGAGCCATGGTGATGCCGAGGGGAAGCGACACTTCTCTTCCAGCCCGGGCTCCAGGCACCCTCAGCCCTGCGGCGTTTGCTCTACGAGGACAGCGTTTGTCAGCACGAGCATGAGCTTTGCCTGCTGATCGAGGTGCCCAGACCAGTCTCCAGGTTTATTGGCCTGTCTGGGGGATGTCCCTGACTGTCGCTGCTCCCTGAACTGTGGCCAAGCCCTTCACCAGAAGGAAACAAATGCCGTGAGTTATTTAGACTTGCTTTCAGGTGAAAACATTTCTGTCTATTTGCATAATATTTGCAGAGCTCATGGTATCTGCTGGTATCCATCCAGTTGCTGAATTGTTTGTTTGTTCAGTGAGCTAATCCTCCCTGTCAGATGAGCGTTCAGGTGTATTTCCAGGGCTCCTTTCCTGCAAGGGCTTGTTCACGCTCCCTCCTGCTCCACTGCTTGGGAACCAGCTGTGGGCTTTATTTTATTCCTTACTGCATCACCAGTTCACAGCTGGGCTTCTCCCAGCCCTGCCCCGGGAGTTTGCTGTGCCCAAACGTCACGGTGCTGGGATTTGAAGGCAGCTTTTACTGATTCATCTACACCCTGGTGGTGTCCAGGAGGAATATTTGATCCCAGCAGTGTCATGTATCATGGCGAACAATTTGGGTTCAGCCCAGGTAGTCCAGAGAGTGCAAACCACTGGGAGAAATGCTCCTGTCTGGAGACACTGGGAAAAGACTGAGGCTGTTTCCCGAAGAAGGGACACATGTATGGGTGATGAGAGGCTGGGAGAGGAGTGCTTGCAGCGAGCAAGGAGACTTCAAAAATCAGTGAAAGCATGAAAGAAAGAGGGATGGAAGGCTGTGGTGGGAAGCTGGGGAGCAAAGAAGGGACCAAGCTCTCAGATGGATGTACCAAAATCCACAGTTAAAACAGATTTAAACTGGCAGCAGCCTTAAGCCTTATGCTCATGCCAGTCTAATTCTGTACGAACTTAGCAAAAAGGGGGTCAAATTATCATCCAGCAGCCATGTTACCTGGATAAAGAAGATTTTGGGTATTTTGGTGAGCAGCGGGCACTTCTCTGACGATAAAATCTGGAAAATCCGGGTCAGCTTAACTGGCTCCGAGTCGCAACCGAATATGATCCCCTGCTTTCCGTGGCTGGAGATGATGCTCACAAAGTACTCCCCGTGCTCGCAGCAGCACTCTGCAAAGACGCGGCCAAACCGATGCCTTCGAGCATCGGCTCAGGGTGTGGCGGAGGGTACTTAGACCGAGAGGTGGGGAACGGGGGAGAGCTGGGCTTGGGGGAAGATGAGGAGGGGGTTTAGGGGCTGGCAGGGGGCCGCGTACCTTGCTGGTAAAGGTCTTCTATCTCCTTGGCTGTCTTGTTATGCATCAGCTTCACCTTGTAGTTGAGCCGTGAGAGTATGTTGGAAAGCTTCTCCGCTTCTCTCTTGGCTCCTCTCCGGGTCAAATGCCCCTCCCCCCGCCGCTGCTGCAGAAATTGGTGTTGACGATGACAAGGGCCCGGCTTTGCCTTGGCTGGGACATGCCGGGATGTCCCCTCGGGTGGGTAGGTGGTCTCCAAAGCCCCGCTGTGCTGGCAACGGAGGTCAGGCTTGTCCAGCGGTGAGCCCCGAGTGCTCCTTCGGGAAGTCCAGGGGAGCGTATCCTGCTCCGCTGGCTGACTCAGCACCGGCGTGGCTGACTTTCA